CTAAATTGACCTTGAAATTCAAAAGTCGTGAAAGAAGCAAATGTACATCAGGCTCTAAAAACGCCGTACAAGACATGAGAAAACACACCAATTAAACATCCACGTGAGCGTTTGCTGTCCCAACGCTAAACATGGCTGAAATCAAAAAATACCTCCATTCAAGCGCCTCCCCTAAAAAAAGTTATTTAATAATTCTACGCCATTATTAATTGATAGCTCATTGTCGTCTGCTACCTTTGTGAGAACTAAGGCTCCGACTGAAAAGCGGTTAGAGCACTCCATGAGCTTTTAAACCACTTACGTCGTCTACTGGAGCTGATAAAATAAAACCAGCATTTGATTTAGCATATTTTAAATATTAATTGTTAGCAAACAGCTGCCTTGATGTGTGAGTTGCCCAGTGGACAGAAAGATAGTGAAGTGGTTAAAGACAGAGATAGCTGAAGAGATTATTTCAAAACCAGGGTATCGAGAAATGAATGGCTAAACAAAACGCACACCAGTTAAATTAAAATTTTAAAACGGAGAAAATGTTGTTTTCTTCAATAATAAACTTCATTTTAAACCAAAGATAATGTCAATCTATTCTTGGGCCACGTTTTGATTTTCCAGGATGCAGATTAAAGGGGGGCCATAGAGTGAAAGATACTATGTCTGCGTGCGTTCGATGTGAGTTTGCGAGCCACAGGTCATGATAAAACATAACAGGACTTGATTCGCGATGTGTTGTCTGTTGGAGGTATGAAGCAACTGCTAGACTGAAGATTATCTGGAGCTAGCTACAAATGTTTTACACTAGACACCGACAACGTATATGTACACAGAGAGGGAGAGGAAGAGCAGGATAAAAGAAAAGGAAACACAGAGACAGGACAAGAAATGAACTGGGGGTCATTAAATAAGTGTACATGCCATGTAATGAGTGTACACCATCAAACGTGCAATCTTTTTTTCGTTGGATGAGTGGGAAAAATTCAAAAAATAGATAGGCACAGTGCCAAAAAATAATGTGATTGAAGACAAATAAACAGAAAAAAGACTTCGTACTCTGAATCAAGAGCTGAATAAAAACTCAGGGCTGAAAATAAAAGACCATACACACCATCACACCACATAAAATCTGTTCTCTCTCGTTGCTTTACGAAAAATACATTTTCCTTAATAAGTTAAGCTCCTGTTAACCAGAAGTGTATCGAATCCAATTTTACATTTTTACCGCGGTTAGCGTTGGAATAACGGCTTAAAACCGGCGCCACCCTTTTACGAGAGGAACAGAGTAAAATGTGGCTGATGCGTACCGTCCCTCCTACCTTCTTCTCCCACTGGAGCACGTAGGGCACCGGGTGGTCTTCTGGGAAGTCCACGTTGCAGTTGAACACCACGGACTCTCCCAGGATGGCAGTGATGTGTTGTGCATCTTGGAAGGACAGTGCTGCAACATACAGGCAGGGTGTGTTTCAGAGAATCCTTCCGGTGCCGGGTCGGCGTATAGCGCCAGCGCCCGGGAGTTGGAAGTGTATCCGGCATGAAAAATCGAGTATGAAAAATTCACGCGCGTCGGGATAGGGTGCAGAGCTCTAGCCCCGCGGCCGAGCCAACCTCACAACAGTTGCCACCCACCCACACCACCGCCTCCCCAAAGCCCTTTCTACCCTCACAGCGAAAAACAGCGGGAAAGTTAACAAACTTCCTCTCAAGTCAAACTTGCGTTTTCGCTCTGTATTTAATTTAGAGATACCCACGAAAAAATCGCGAAACGCAAATAACAAGTATAAATAAAAGAAGTGATATTCTACAGGAGCAGGACCAACCAACCACGTGAGCGCCAGTTGCCAGTCGGCTATACTTGTAAAGAGGAGGGTAAAACGCTCAAGGGCAGTGAGCTTAACCATCGAAATGTGAAAGGCGGATGTGGGGATAGGAGGAGAGGCGTCTTATAGATTCTTTAACTCTTCCGCAGATGTGTGATACGTCGACCTAGACACGTTCGCCCCTCGCCACGGTGGCCGGGCGGGGCGGGGCAGACCGCCGAGTGGGGTAGGTCGCTGCTTGGCTCCATCAGGGATGTATTATTCAACGAGAAGGCGAGGCGGAGCGAGCGGAGCCTGGCGTCCCTCCGGGACCCGGACTAAATTACCGTGAAACGGAACTCGCTGACATACCCACACAACACTGGCGCGCACCGCGGCGAGAGAGCGAGAGAGAAAGGGAGAGAGAGAGAGAAAGAGAGAGTAACATTGCGCAGTGACCTACCTGGGGCGATGGCGCCGAGGAGTAGCGACAGGGGCAGCAAGGCGAGCGTCAGCAGCTGGCGACATGTGACCACTGGGTTCGCACGCAAGCCCATGCCTGTGTTCCCATAGTCACTGCCGGGCCTCCAGCACTGCCATCACCTGCAACACAGAGGGCGGACGCTGTTAAAAGAATGGCACAGATTACGACAAAAGAAGAAGCGGGTAGTGCGTGAAGTGACTGTATAACGGAGTACCTGACTACCAAAAAACGTTTATCTATTCACATATTTTCTAAGGCCAAAAGGTCCACAGCAACCCCACAATGACCTCTAAACTTAAACGCATCAAAAATTGTCATCATTATGACAGAATTCTTAACGTTCTTTAATTACAATCATTATAACGTATACGCCCAACAACTACTTGTTCGTGTGTAGAAAAGTTGGGGTACCCCTCGGTGAGTTGCGTACTGTAATGCGAGTATTGCGCAGTGTGTATTGCGAGGTTGGGAGGGGAGTGGGAGGTCCTTCGCTTTCGCAGATATGGAGCCGTGAGGAGTCAAGTACCCTGACCGGCGCCGCCAGCCCGCCCCAGGGTACCCGCCCTCCCCCCTACGCTCCTGAATGAGCTCCTGATGAAGGACGGCACCCAGGAGTTAAAAGATCGTCGAGTGGTCGCCGCAGTGGCGGGCGAGCGGAGGAAGCGAGTGGGCGCCGGGGGCGAACTAGCAACACGAGGCATTCAGGCGAGGACCGGAGCCGGGACGGGGCAGGGCCGGGGAGGGGAGTATTCAGATTCATTCCCTCCCACTCCCCTCCGGATACACCGCTCCCCGCCCCGCCCGGCCCGGCCAGGCCAGGCCGAGGCCTCCCCAACAGTAAGCAGTGATGAGGGTTTGTCTGTTGCGACGACGTTGGCTCCCCCGGCGACCGGGGGTGCGGAGGCCACGCCAACGGGGGCTCCTCGGAGGGGCGGGCCACTTTGGG